TAATCTAGGATATTATTTCTGTGGTTAATTAATTGCCATGTTAAATAATAGGACTTCATGGGAGATTCTTGCTGATGGATGCAGCACAGCTGGCCTCTAGTGGCCATGAACATTCCCTCTAGTGGGAATGAACATAAACATGTTATTTTCATCAGTATCTCTATAGCACATTTCTGTCTTTATATATAGACAGAAACAACCTAAATTTCTTCTCTTCCTGAAAAAAAAGGAAAAAAAATATAGATTACTATATACTGATTCCAAGGATATCTGTGTAAGTCAGAATTGTCCTTCTATAGAAATCTATCATTGAAAGACACTTACTGAAATGACTTGTATTTCATTTCTCCACTGAAGATTTAGAAGTAAAAAGTGACTAGTGCTTAGCAGTTCCAAACTATGCATCAATTTCCCCAACCACCTCAGTGGTTGGGGAAATAGAAGTATAGTTTGGAACTGCTAAGAAAAAAAAATAAAATTCTTGGTATGTCTTTTTCCAGAGCACTAACAAAACTCTGTAGTAGGAAGTAGCACCTACCCCGTCACAGGCATCAGCAGCAGGGTTGGCTGCAGTGCTGCAATCAGTTATACTGGAGTTTTGTATAGCAGGAGAACTGCACCAGTACAACTGGAGAGCACTGGAACTGGTATTTCATTGCTGTATCGGGGTAATTGCAGCCTGGATGTCAGAGGAAAACTGTCCCTCCCAGTCAGCACCCCTCCCCGAGAGCAGTGAAAAGCCGCCTTCATGCAGCTTTTGAGAACAGGATGTTCAGTAAAGCTACATGTACACTGAGCGTGTTGTTTGCTGCCAATGTTTAGACCTGAATCTGCTTTTCCAGGTGAACCAGGCAAAGCCAGCTACGGCAGCGATGGCCGTGATGGTGAGAGAGGTCCCCCTGGGGTGGCCGGTCAGCCTGGTGTTCCTGGTCCCCCTGGCCCTCCTGGCCCTCCTGGGTACTGCGAGCCAGCATCCTGCAGAGTGCAGGCTGGACAGAGAGTGGGTAAGAACATGAAAGGGCCGTGAGTGGGAAACGCAAGTGCCACCACGTGTCAGCATCAATTTACTTCTTGCACAGACAGCTGAGAAAAAAATAAGGAATGAAGGAGAAATGCAAACGTGGACAAACCTTTCACCCAAGGTTTCAGTAAGGTATTTTTAACACAGTGGTTGTACATTCTTTCAAAAGGTTTACTTAGCAACACAAGCTGCAGCAATGGTGCTTACAGAAACACGCAGGTGATGCCTTCTGGCTCTTTCTCCTTTTGGGGAGGATAAAAGGCAGTTGACTATTTTTATTTTTGATTTTGTTTAATAAAGGGTTTCTGTGATTTTTCCTCCTCCCCATCTTAATTCCTAAGTATGATGTACAGTGAAATAAGACTTCAGACATCAAATAAAAAAAGGACAGTTTATTTACTGCAGTTGTAGTTATTCTTTACTTCTCTTTTATACTTATACCCTTCATGCACAGTCGTTTCATTGTATGTATGTGTTGTCTAGGATATGCTAAACCTCCTTCAGCTCTTCAATTCAATTGCAGAAACACATTTGGGAGACTTTTCTAATGAAAACCTGCCACCCCTCGCACCTTTTATGCTGTCAGTCTCTGTAAAGGTGTGATCACTGGGTTCTCATGAATAACCCATGTGGAATAACCTCTTCATTTTCAACTCCAATTTGTGTTGCATTTGTAATTTCATAGGAAGCCTATTTCAGCTTGCCTCCTTCTATGTGAAATTAAATAAAAGACTAGTAGCCACTGTCAAGGGAATTTTAAGTCCCCAAAATACATGTTTTATAGTCAAGATTACAGATTTTGAAGTAACATCTGTGGTTGTACAAAACCCCCAATAAATAATGTTTTAATCTCCTATATCTTTTTTTAATGTATGGTAACATTCAGTACTGATTAACAGAACAACCAAAAGGCAGCAATTAGATTTCCTAAGTTGCCTTTTTTTAAGATACTCAGTTTTTAGAGGAAAATGTACAATGTGGATATTCTGTTGCTCTCTGTATAAATTAAACTATTTGTGGTTTTGACTTTACCTCTCTGAAGTTTATTCTCTCTCCAAGACAACAACGAAATCATCCTACGATGTTTCCTTTCATTTCATTATCAGCTATCCAAATTTTCAAATATAAACTTTGGCACACTTGCTTTAAGCACTGACTTTTTAGCTAGCCCCTAATTGTCTGGTTATGTTCCAGACAGTTGACTTGTTTGCCACATGACAACAGAGAGAAGGAACACAATCCATGGAGCTCTGCATTTTGGATGTAACATAAGGGGAAAGGTACTGGTATAATATATACAGCAAAATGAATTATTGGAATAAAGAGTAGTTAAACCTTCCCCAAACCAAACCCGATGCTCTGGCTGCATCTAGGAACCACTTCTCTGGCACCTCATGTGTTGACAGAAAGTGCCTACACAGAGATCACTTGGGACACAAATGTCTGATTCAGCTGCCTCCTAAAATAAAGTATATTTGAGACTTTTCAGAATTAGTTAAATGGGATTAATTCCGATAATGTTGTTGCCTAAAGATTGGGAGCAAAAAAATCTCCAAGTTTAGTAGAGATAAGCTGTAGAGCAGATTTTTAATGAAGGCCTTCTAGTGCAAGGAGTACAATAAGGCCCACACCCTGTGTCCAGGGGTTCCACAATTTATGGTCCAATCTGAGAACTATTCCTCCCCCCTGGATCTGTCCCCCTGGCACACCTCTCTGGAATTGAGTTGGGGGTTCCAAGACCCCTTTCTTCCTCATCTTCCTCTTCTTCACAGCACATACTGTGTTTGGAGCTTCCCCGAGGTTCCGAGCTTGAAGGTTGCTTTGACTATGATGGTGTCTTCTTGTTCAGGGCTGGGGTGCGAATGTTCTTAAACAGAATGTGTTTATTATAGTCCTACCTTGAAAGGAGCCTAAACAAGCCTAAAGACGATCCAATATGAAATAGGGGAACAGGGTTTGGTGATTGTCAACTACTATTCTAAAGTGTGACAGACTATACAGCTACATTAAAATCTCCAAAAACCTCAAAACCCTAAAAATTCTGATCCATCAGTGTCTTTCTGTCCCTTGCATAGCCCAGTATTTTAGACAATAAATATAAAAGAGGTCAAATCTTTACAAATCTTAACTATAACTGGCTACTGTGCTCTAATTCCACAGAAGCAGCACTGGGTGAGATATCAGGGAAAAGATGGGGGAAGAAAATAGGCATAAACAAGCATGTCATCCTGCCCCGAGACTCAGGGCAAAGCTTGGGACAGAACAGCTTTCCTGCACCTCCAGTTTGGCCAAACTCTCTCATAGCCAACATACCCTCATTAATACCTCAGGAAGTCACCAAAATAGGCGAATGCAAAGAATTTAATTCTGCAGGAACAAATCCAGAAGATTCCACATGAGGTGAGTGGCTTGGGCACACATAAAGGTGTTTTAGAATTAGGTCAGATTTTACTGATTTAGGGCATAATCCTCAGAAGTACTACTTACATAGTGCAACAGATAAAAAGCTAGGGGTAATGACAAACTGTAGTTTCACCAGCAAACTTTTATTTTGACTATAAAGTGTGTAAAACTGCTGAAAAGAAAGAAACCCATCTGATAACAATGAAAATACTGTTTTCCATATGTAATGCATAAATATATTAATCAAAAAAAGCAAAACCCCCAACATTTAAATACAAATGTGAAGTGCTTTAGAAAATATAATCTGAAAAATGCATAGAATTCCACTATGGAAGGAAACTCATGTAGAAGCAAAAACATTAATATGCAAAAAAACAAATATGAATTATTACAATCAAACAAATTCAACACTGAGGGTCAGTTCAATGCAGAATATGTATAAGTAAGTGGATAGCTTACTTTTAAGATTGTGACAGATTTGCTGCCTCACAAGTTTTAACTTGAAATACAGAACTGAAGAATAAATCCTTAGGCCCATTGTGAGTCATTGTGGGATGTGTTGGTTAATCTAAGTACTTACAATTTCAAATCTCACACAAGAGTGGAAAAAAAGGTACCTGATGAATGGTAGACTGTATAGCACAACAAACCAGGGACTGGATTTTTAGTAACAGCACATTCAATTAATAAAGATTTGGAAAAAACCCCCAGAATTATGAATTTAAAACAAAGGTGTATTGATGATGGTGATACAGCAAATAAACAGTGCCAGTTCAAACAAATACATTTGGAAGGCACAATGCAAAGAGACTGAGAGGTTTCACAAGCCGCTGACAGTGTGCCACCAGTTCTAACCAGGTGCTCCTGGAGTCTCAGTGAAGTCCCAAGTAAACCTTGTTCTCATCTCCTTCAGGTTCAGTATCAAAAAATGCTATGAGATTTATTCAATGAAAGACCAGTGAAAATCAGTTTTACCCATCATGATCTCTGTCATCACTTCTAATTCTGGAGGCTTAATTGCACTGTAATAAATACATATTTTAGCTCCTCAGTTACTTCAGTGTAGACAGGAACCCAGAGAAAATGTCCTCAAAATTACAACCAGTTCACAGACTTGTTTAGGTTGGAAAAGACCTTTAACATCATCGAGTCTGACTGTTAACCTGGCACTGCCAACAAATTTGGTGGCCTTCTATGACAGGGTTACAGTGGTGGTGGATGAGGGAAGAGAGAATGACATCATCTACTTGGACTTCCGCAAAGCATTTGACACTGTTCCACACAACATCCTTGTCTCTCAACTGGAGAGATACGGATTTGACAGATCTGGGTGGTCGCACTCACAGAGTTGCAGTCAGTGTTCATGTGGAAAACAGTGATGAGTGATGTTCCTCAAGGGCCTGTATGGGGACTGGCACTGTTCAACATCCTTGGCTAACTTGCTGGGGGTACACTTGGTCACAGACAATGACACCAAGCTGTGCGGTGCAGTCAACACACCGGAGAGAAGGGATGCCATCCAGAGCAACATGGACAAGCTTGAGAAGTGGGCCCATGGGAACATCATAAAAGATTAAGCCTCAAAACAGCCAAGGTCCTGCACATGGGTAAGGGCAATCTCCAGCATCTGTCAAGCCAGCCTGTCCAGAACCCTCTGCAGAATCTTCTTACACTCTTAGCAGATCAACCTGCCCAACTTGGTATAGTCTGAAAACTGATGGTGCCCTCAATCCTCTCATCCAGATCACTGATAAAGGACTGACCCTTGCTAAACTCCACCAGTGACCAGCCACCAGCTGGATTTAATTCTGTTCACCACCATTCTCCAGGCCCATCCATCCTACATGTTACTCCTGTGTGATTTATTACAGCTTCACTTTTATTCCCCTCTCTTCAATCTTTTGTTATTCCTGTTCTGTTTCACTTGCTGCATGTGCATCCAAAGGGACAAGTAAACCTGGCAGCCTCAGACAATGAATGAAATTAACTTGCTGAAGCCACTATGAAATTGGAAGAAAGAAAATCAACTTAGTGGTAAGATTATTACCAAACATCCTTTAAAATGCCATTGGCATAGGAGTTCTCTTTTTCCTCCTGGGAGAGTTAGGCAGTGAGAGAACAATGAAAATGCCTACAGTTCTCTAAAGTTCAGGGAAGCAGTTTCTTGAATAAAAGTGATTATCTCATATTTAGACAAGAAAGCTATCTGCATGTGATTCAGAGAATTACTAACTTCCATAAATTATATACATATTAAGGCCAAGGTTTTTCACCTTTTTTTTTTTTTTCCCCCAGACTGTAGAGCCCTAAGTTTCACTGGCTCATTGGAAGCACGACTTCAGTGTGGTCAAAAACCAATCCTGTAAATTCAGCCAACCTGCCCTGACTGCTCCCCAGAGCCCGCTGCAGTGGCTTTGTGCATCTCCTTTCTCCCATTTGCAGTTGCATCCTCCGTCTTTGTGATTTGACACAGAAGAAAAAGCTGACATTTCTAACAGAACTACAAACAGAAAGTACGTGAAACATTTCCATTTCCACTTGGAATACTGTTTCGGATGCAAATGGCCACATCATAATGTAAAAAGCAATTTTCCATCCACTTAATACATTTCCGCTGAACTGAACCTTAAATGTTGTAAACAAAAAATATAAGGAAGGAAGGAAGCAACCAGTCGGTATGTACTGTGATTCACTCAGTGACAGTTGCATATCATTCAGAAATGAAAGAATACAAAAAAATAAGGTATATCATTGAGAATCCTTCAAACATACTGACTGGAAACAATATATTTACATTAAAACTGCAGTAAATAATTAAATGCATTTGTGTTTATAGAACAGCAGTCTCAGAAAGAAAACTGCTAAAAGACATGTAGACTCCAATCTGTTGAGCTACAAACTTATTTTGGTCTAGAATCGATAACGTTTTTTAGCAATTAATGTTTGAAAACAACATTTCATTAAGCTATTGTAAAGCTTGAGTTTTCCACTTAAACACTAACCATGACATGGTCAGGGTTAAACTTCTAGACATGTTCTCCATGGCCTACACCAACCTGTGTGTTTGGAGATGGATTTCAACATCCTTCCAATACAATCTAGTTGTAGTGGACATGTATCAGATTTCAGAGAAAATTTGTATGATTTGGTACATCCAGAAATTAAGAAAAACTAGATAAAACCCCACACCAAACCAGCAATCTTTTGATTTCTGAGATACTTTTCTTGTTCTAACATGTCACATTAGAGCAGCAATGTATTGATAAAATGCAAGTTCAGGGACTGGTTTTAAGTAGCATATCTGGAGAAACAAGTTTATAAAATGCTAGTTTAGCCAGTGGGATTTTTACAAGAATTTTATGTAAACATTTCAGAAAAAGAAGAAAAAAACTGAGTGTACACTGACATGAAAAATAGTATTTCATCCTTGTGAAAAAGGAGCTCCAAGATATTTTGTGTGATTATCCATTAATTTTAAAAATACACTTATTTAACAAAGCTGTGCATATCTAACATCTGTCATAACCCAAAATCATAAAAGATAAAGGAAGGATGGATGATACAATCAATCCTGCTCCTGTATCATAGTGCTTTTTTAGCATTGAAACCAAGTCCGGTTTAAGACAAGAATAATGGTTTTCAAAACATTGCCAGGCTGCACAGATGTTCATACTGCTTGTATGAAGCATGCTGTTGTAAATTTTATTAACCATAGGTGAGTCCCTCCTCCCCTGGAGACAAACCTCATTGCGGGGGACATAAATGATGCCTGAAAGTGGGATGTCCCACTAATACATATTCTTTTTTAACATACACAAGCCACAATATAATAATAAACACAAAGTTTAAGCAATATTACCTAACAATAATTATCCAAGAAAGGCAGTATTTCTGCAAATACTACCATGCAAAACTAAATTGACTTAACAAAAAAAAAAAATAGTCAGGCTCAAGAACAAAATGAGAAACATTGACTTTTGTGCCGTGAGAATATGCATCACTGGGTCAGCTCTTGCACTGCTGGGCAAGCTAGGCCTGGGCTGTACCCTTTGTACTGAAAGGATGTTTTAGACTCCACCATGTGGACAACAACAGGAGCTCTACTGCAGCTTTGGTAAAGTTTCTCTCTTACGAAGTTTTTTCTGTCTTTAGGCAAACTGAGTAGTTCTGTACATAGCGATTTCAAGAAAATCCCAACATGTTCTTAATAGGTGATAAAGCAACTTGCCATAAAATATAATAGTCTGACCCTGAACTAGGATAAAGCTTAGAGAGCTTTTAAGAAAGGTTTAAAACATTTTGTCAAAATTATTTCACTTCTGAATCTCATTGCACGTAAACATGCCCAAATCAGAATAAAAGACCTTATGCTACTGCAAAAAATAATCCCCTGTGTTTAGTTCCTTGCAATGCTTACTGCAGCATGAACTGCTCAAAACAGATATTTGATAAAGCAATTTGATAAAGAAATTGATAAAGCAAATTGCAAAATAAATTAGCACCCCCTCCCCCAAAACTAAGACAACATCAGTCTGAAACTGCAAAGAAATTTCAGGGGCCAAACCTGAAAACCATTCAGAAACATGTTTTCAGCTACATTCCATTTTAAATTCTAAAAATACAGAGTAGGAGCAAGCCAGTGTGAAGTAAAGTTAAACTGGGATTAACACTGTTCTACCTCAGTGAAGAACATGGCATCTTAAAAAAGGTATCGAGAGAGCCCATATAAAAAAATACCCGTTTTCTCACATGAGAAAATTAAAGTGGGCTTTTAGCAAAATAAAAATAATGCAACAAGATAATTACCAAAGTTACCTGCAAATCAACTGAAAGCATTCAAATGCATTTTAAAAAGACCTTTATGTTTGAGCCTATAAAAAGAAAAAGGCATCTGTAGGAAACATAGATGAAAAAATAAAACTTTTTCAAATATAAAAAGTGTTTTGCTTTCCAATAAGTTCAAGTAAATTAACATACAGCAATTGCATCTGACAGATGACAGATGCTGGGTTTCAGCTACCTAAAAGCCCCAAAATATACAGATACCACTAACGCGGCACAATAGTTTATGTACAGCCTTCCAGATGGGGCTGCCTGTGAACCTCTAGGTTGCATGAATATTATTCACAAGACAGCACCCTTTTCAATATTATCACAGAAAATGAAGTGTAAAATTAACTTATGAAGTAAAAAATGTTTAGATTATTACACATATTGGAATTACTAGAGAAGTAACAAAAAAAAAGAAAAAAAAAAGAAAAGAGAGATTGAAAATGCTTATGCAAGATACCTGACCAGCAGTTCCTTTCAGAGAATGGAAACCAGTATGTAGGGCTGTTTCTCCACTGGTGTACATGTACAGACACCAAGACAGGTGCTGGTACAAGGTACAAGGTTGTACTCGCTGGGCTGGCAGACACAGGGCCCACACACCAGGAGGTGCCTCAGGACAGACAAGTGCTTGGTTTCAAGCTGCCTCACCAGTTCCCAGTGCTCTCACAGCCTTGGCACTCTGAGGACCAGATCTGGAAAGGTGATCAGTTCCACAGAGCAAACCAAAACACACTCCATGGGCACAGGAGCTCTGGAAGAGGAACAGGGTGAGTTGAGATAAGCACAGGCAGGGCCGCTTGTCCTGCACCTTTGCCCTGCTAGGACAGGTGCCCACTGCCCGCAGAGTGGAGGATGTGCTGGTCTAGAGAAGGTTCAGCTATTGCTTCCCAAGGGATGGGAGGGATGAGCAGAAAAGATGGTGTGAGGACTGGGGTTCACTGGTGGGCTTTGACCTATCTGTTCCCAACCTCATGAGGGACATACAAAGCACCCTGACCCCCCCAAGGGGTCCCCAGCTGCAGGGTGTATTACATCTCATTTAGGTAGCAGAAAACCTGCCACAGTTTTTCTGTTATCCTCTTTCCTGCTGCCCTCCTCTGTCCCAGCTGTTTACTCTCAGCTTTTCACCCCTGTTTCCTTTAACATCTCTTTGTAGCAAGCACCTTCTTTCCTCCAAACATCTAACTGATGAATATGTCAGGGATGTGTGCTTTCCCTCTCAGAATGTGTGCCTGAGCTCCCCAGCTGCCTGGATTAACTCTGTCACCTCTTGCTTTCGTCTCACTCTGGGTGCAAGTGCTAGGAACTCTATTCAAAAAAGCCAGTGTATTTCTGTTTTTAAAGACTCACACTGGTCATTCCTTAACTGCCTTTCATCAAAACTAAGAAGTCAGCCAAATTCCTGTTTCACAACAGCTTCTCTGGAAGCCAGCACTTCCAGTTTGAGAGCGCTTCCCTGGCAGCTCTGTACTGCTCAAGCACGAAGTCATCAAAACCACTTTTCACCCTGATGTGGGAGAGCTTCCTAATAAGGGGGTAAGAACCCTCAGTATGGCTTTGCACTACAGATGTATTTTCAGGTTTTGGGTTATAGCCATCTGAATTTGTTCTCCCAGTAGCACCTTCACTTTCTACTGCACTGCAGAAAATTCCACAGGATTAATGTAGGATAATCTGTTTCCTAATAAACAGAAGTGAAACTTTGGCCATGTCTCCTCCCTCCTTTTCATAACCAGCCTCTGTGTGATCAATTTTCTCCAAATTTTCTTTTGATCAATTCTTTGAGCTCTACAGGATGTACACCTCATTCTATTTGGCTGACAGTGTCTAGTCCTGTAGGATTTACTGACTGCCTGAAAACTGGCTGCAGTTGTGTTCTGGGTGTTACACCTTTCAAGGAGGGTTTTGTACTTCTTTCCAAATTTTTCTTGTGCTCAAGTGATTTGTTTGCAATTTACTAGGACCTGTGAATTTTACACTCTACAGTTTCCATGCTCTTCTCAAGCTTATTTCAGCATTTGATTATTGCAGGAGGAAGAGGAAAACTGTATCACTACCAAGATCACAGGCTTGTGAAGTTCTCTTGTAGGACTGTGTACCCACCACTCTCTGCTCTAAAGCAAGGGGTCACCTTTGCTGTAGGCAGACCTAATGGCAGAGTAGCTTGATTACAGGCAACGATGGTACATTTAGTCCATGTGGTGGTTAGAAAATATGCCAGTTCTTAGTCGGGAACATCAACACCAGCCCTTTGCAGTTAAATATCTGGATATTTATCAATTTATCATGTAGCCATGACTAAATGAACCTACAAGCCCCCTAGCTGGGACAACATCCTGTCAGGAGAGACACTTCTTGGGGCTACACCTGGTGATTTTCCAGTCAGTTTGAAGTTCGGTGTTGGATGGGATTAGGGAGATCATAAACACATCTTCGTTTCCTTCTTCAGCATCTTGGACGTGATTAAAATTGCGGCAGCACTTGTGATGCACAACAAAGACCCTTTTCAGAGGGTGTCCCTCCTCAAGGGACATGAATGTTTAGTCTGAATAGAGTTCCCAGTGCTCCAGCTCAGGTCCTGCGTTCGCCATGAACAAGTACGCTTTGAAACTCCAGAAATTTATATTTTTGATTTAAAATTCACCACCAGCAGGAAAAATAAAGCCAGCTTACATACTGGGGCATATATAATGTCTTAAGTAATAATAAAATATTTTTTGTTTGAAGAAAGAAGGCGATGAAAATTATTTGTGCCTATTTTCTGTTCTAAGGAAAATAAATATGAGAAACAACACATGGAATGCACTCCGGAAAATATACGTCATCATTTCATAATTACGACACTGCAAATAACATAGAAAACCCTCAATTTTGTGCCTTACAAATTATCTATATACCATGCAGTGTCGAGAAAAAAAAATGCACCAAATATTTCAAAAATTAAATTAACTTATTGGGAAGAGTGAAAAGTGATTGTGAACCCAAGTGTCTGGGGAAGAGGTTTTTTATTTTCTGCTGGTGTGTGACCGAGTCTGTGATATGTGGTAATAGCAATCTGCTGGATTGCATCTCCCACTGGGTCCAGGTGGCCCCTGTGGTCCGGGTGAGCCTGGTGTTCCTGGTGGGCCTGGCACTCCAGCAGCTGGTAAAACAAAGTTAGAATTAGTAGAATCCTCACCAAAGCATGTGTAGTGCCCTGCATTTCATTACTGATGGTCAGCTGCACACCAGCTCATCCACAGGAAAGCAGGTGGGTCTGACCTCATGCTATGACTCAGCCTGGGAGGAAAGGCAGGGGTGTAAAACCAATGTGAAAAACAGGAGAAAGGCCTGTTAGTTCATAAATAACAATAACAGAAATAAATCTGAAGACTTGTACCTGCAGGGCCAGGTGGTCCAGGGTTACCAGGCAGTCCAATTCCAGGCTCGCCTCTTTCCCCTTTCTGTCCTCTATAACCTACACAGAATAAAGATATGAAAATAAGAGCACCCTCTTATTATAAACAGTGATCTTCTGTATATCTTTTTAACAGGAAATTACCAAGACAAATGTGATTGGAAAAGGACATGCTCACTTCTTTTTCAGAGACGGGTATTTTTTCCTAAGACAGTTTTTAAGTTTTTAAGTTCCTTCTGGAAAATATGAGCATTTCTAGTAGTAACTGCTGCATCCTCTGCAAAAGGACTCTTGCCTTGTTCACTAGTTGGACTTTCCTCCAAGATTTTAAGTGACCTTTCTGAAGCTCCTCTAATAAAGACCCAAATGCATACTCCGCTCTGGAGTTCCCTGTTCCATGACGTGATGTGAGGCAGCAATCCAAAGGCCATCTGCAGTCTGACCGGCCTTTCTTTTGTAGCCCACAAACTGAGCAAGACTTCACACTCCCCGTTCTACATAAATCCTTGCATTTGCACTTTTTAGACTGTAAACTGGCAGTTTTATGCTTAGATATTCCCCTGTCTGTGAGAGAAGACCCACTCCCCTCTCAGTGTTACCCTCATGTGGAATGAGGCATCTTTAGAGCTTGTGCAGATTTCAGGTTCAAAGCCTACTTTGACTGAAAAAGCTTTATATTGTTAACAATGTGTGATTACTAATTATACTTTGAATAATGTGGTTCATTTTCTTCACAGGCCATAGCTTCGTATTTACCTAAATAACCCCCACCTTCTCAGGTGCTGCATCTCATGCCCAATGCCCATTTCTTTTTCCTTCAACTGTTTTTAAAGTGTCTTATTAGCTGGAAACACTTTGGCTGCTTTAGAGCAGAGGACTTGTGGCTACTGGTAAAGCATTTTCCTTAATATTTCAGGTTAAGAATCCATCTACAAATGTACCTTTTCTGTACAGACCATGTAAATTTTGCAGGACAGGGGATGAAGGCATTTTTAAAGGAACAAGTGTGACACCTGGCACAACCCCTTACTTTACAAGAGATTACAAGGAAACCATCTTCCTACCAAGGAAACCTTTTTCCTTCCCCAGCACCTCAGATGTGTAAGGTGACGTATACTGAAGATCAATTTGCCAGTTTCTGGTCACATTTGGAATTAAACTTGTCCTGCATAAGGGACCAGTGTATTTCTAGTGCTGCCTAAGCCGTACAATAAACTTCCTCTTGTGAAGAAATGTAACTTGGTTTGAATTCAAAGAGAAGAGTCACGGCTGACCAGCCAACATGGTGGTGCCAATTAACCTGATGTCTCATGAAGATTAACAGGCACTGGCTAGTGGATGGCAAAGGTTGTCTTTTCAGTGTGCTGTGGTCTATTGCAACACTGGTACCTTACAAGACGTTCCAAAAGGACACTACTGTGGGTGCTGTGGGTACCCATTCAGGGTTGTTACAACAGACACAATGCAGTAGGAATGGTATTCAATTCAGAGTGTTCAAGCTTTCTGTTACACAAAAGCTCATTACACACTTCAGTAGAGTCTATTATCTATTGCAACCATTGCAGGTTTCAAAACAGAGCATCAATCATCTTACTCTTCTCTCAGCACTGCAACAAGGAAATTATAGCGAGGCAAAAACATCAGAAAATGCATGCAGGGTGACATACATAACATAAGTAAAGGAAATCAACAGTTTAAAAGCTCACAGAGAAACAAACAATATTAAGCATGCATTCTGGTCACTGAGTTGTGTTAAGCAGAATTCTACAAGGCATATATGCACATAAGCTATAAGGACTCAGCAAAAGGAATATGCAGGTGCTTGTACTTAATTTTGAATACTGGTTTTGCTCTTTAGTGACCACAGTAGTATTTATAAATACATCAAGTTGTTTTGCTCTGATTCATCTTGTGAAATGCTGTTTTGACTACTGTTTGAAAAGCTTAATCATACAACCACAGGATTCACACAACCATTACGTGTCCTATTTATTATATATTTCTCTATGTTTTTTAATTTACAGTCAATAGTTACAGTGCATTTCCCACTACACACACAGTTAAACTGTAATTTTACAAAGCAGTGCTGCCACTAATAATTTGCTTTTCCATTTCTTTAGTTATGGAGAAGAGAGAAAAATCACAGATACCATATACCACATTTGCAATCTCCATGATAACCATTACTGTAGGTCTCTGACATACCGTAATTGAAAGGCACTAAGATAGACTGAATGATTCTGTAAACATCAATGGAATTCAGTACAATAAGGAAAAAAACAAAAAATCAAAACTGGACAAAGATTAGCCTGCCAATATGAATACATGATCCAGAGTAGTGTAAACCATTACTGGCTCTATCCAAATACACACGCAAAGGTGTAGTTTGTACACAGGGGCAGGAAAGTGCTGATGACAGTGAAGTTTGATACAAAACTTTCCAGATATCTTTTCTGACAGTAAGGATTTATTTAACAGGATGCAAGCATATCAGTAAACAGACCTTTATGTAAACAATCTGAACAATGTAATGTGTAATTCTGGCAGAAAAATCTTTGATTTTTAATGAGGTATATGTTGCTCAGAAGCAGGGTCATGATGACGCTTTTAGAGGCTAATATCGCCTTCTTTCTGAGCTTAAAGTGACAAACTCATATATAGTCAAAGTAAAGTATTACCATACACATAAATCAGATTTTGATTTTTGTTTTTAACGTAAAGGCACATATAAGATGCTATCTACTTTTACTGGTGGAATTATAATTCCAGTAAGAGACACCTGCTTAATCCAAAAGGTAACTGTTTTAGCAAAGCCTTTCACTCAGGTTCCAGAAGTTTTGTTGTGATTTCTGCAACTCAGAAGTTCTGGTATTATAAACATGTACCCAGCCGTGGGTTGTATGCTAACTACTTGGTAGCAGTGCTATGTGAACACATGTATGTGTTCAAATGGATAAAGTTCTGCTCATAGATGAGTAGTGACAGCTGAAATACAGCTCTTCACTTGATGCTTCCCACAAACATCACTGTCAGAAGTGTCACTACCGCAACACTCTCAGCTCCACGTGGAAATTACCCAAGTTCATGCCTATGAACTGCGAGATAAAACGTATTTAAACTGTTCCAGAAGGTATTCCACCTATATCACAGAGACTCTCTTCCATCAGCATGGACAACACAGCATTTGAAAGCAGCATGTCAAATATTTATCTAGAGAAATTTAAATTCTAGAAAAAATACAAGGCAAACAGATTACCACATCAGGGAACAACGAGACCAAAGTACCCACGGTGTTTTACCGCAAAAATACTCGTGTTCTTAAAAAGAAAAGACTGCAAAGAGACAGAGAGGGTGCTAGGAGCATCCTCTCATCCAGCCCTCAGTACATATTTCAAATTCCTTCTGTGTGTTACAGCCCTCTTAGTGGAGAGGTTGGAACTTGGGTTCAAATCAAAGTGAAACAGGTTTACTTCAACTTCCACAGCAGAGAACATTTTACAGGAGGTAACTATTGAAACCAGTACAGTTATTTCAGAATAATGACTTTGTCTGAACAACACCCACTACAATGGGTTCCTGATGCCAGCCAAGATTTCTATATGCTTCCACCATACAAATTATAAATTAAAAGAGACATAAATTTTACAACAGAGATTGCCAATGAAGATAAGGAGTTTTCACTGTTCATCGCATGGTATTTTTATTTTCTAAACTGTGATGCTTGATTCCTTGAGGCTACCATGAGTTATGAGGACCTATAACAAACTAATTTCCTTAATTGGATAGAAAGAGTGAATTTTAACTGAGATGAAATCTTTTCTCTAGTGAGAAGAAAATCAATAGTCATAGTAACATAAAGGATATCTGGATTGCAGAATTATCCCAAGGTGCATTTCATCAAAGGGACCAAAAGTCACTTACTATTACAGTTTCAAAAATCCAACTAAGTCACTGACGTTAACTGAGCTAGATCCTCTAACATATGAGAAGCTGACTGTTTGCAACTGGATGACATTGCCATAGCTTGTCTGTAAAGTCTTGAAATGAACTTTCTAATTCTCTATGAGATATTAACATACTTTAAAACTCATACAGAGTAAAGTTCCTCTGTTCCCCCTTAAGCAAATGCTGTACATTTTACCACTAATTCTGCCTCAGAGTATCAGCTTGCTGATGCATGCGCCATAGGTTATTTCTTTAAATGAAGAAATTGATATATATAAGTATAAAAATCTTCCAATCATTATGTGAATAACAATTACGTGTTTCATAATTAAAGTTGCAATTCTTCATTATATTTTGCTTGCATGCTGTATTTTTACTGAGACCATCCTGTAAATTATTTGTACCTGAACCATTGGGAAGTATCTGAGTAACACTATGAACAACCTTGCTGAAGGCCAGGAGGTAAGAATTCTGGACTTCCATAGAAGGGGATGACTCTATGAACAGGAGTCTAGCTATTCTTTAAATACACTTTTTGAAAACCATGCTACATTTCCAAAAGTTAGTATCTACGCTTTCTGCTTCTGAGACTAACTCCCAGTCTATTGGTTGGCTGTGCAGAAGGAGGTTCTATTGGAATCCAGCCAAGTCATTCCAGACCATTTCCCTGGGAAACTGGCACGACACTCAAGGTGTATAGAGGGTCCCTACAAATCCACAAGTAAATTTCAACACCTCCTGGGACACACCGTGTCTGACACACCTGCCTTTCCTGCTGGCTGGCTCTAGCAGGCTCTCCGCTCATCATGCAGCATCACAAACAGGAGAGGTCCTGTTAATTGCTCGCTGGAAGCATCTACTACTTCACACTGTCTGCTGGGACAAGTGACTCACTCTGCCAGCCCAGACACATATTACTGCAAACAACAAATCCCTGAGTTGGCAATCTGGCTACACCCAAGAGAGAAATATAATAAGGAGTATTTGTCAGTCAATACCAAATGTATATTGGGACTTGTGCACACAGCATGCTACCTTGAAGGTCTCAGCCACATATGCACATAACGTGCTTCTCCAAGAGGTCTTGCTTGCTATGCATTTTATGGCTGAAAACAAGCTGGAATACAGAAGGATACCTTTCAATCTGCTCAGAGATTTGAATTTCTTTTTACTCCTGGTATGAAACAGCACCATGCACAGGCACAACTGAGTAAGGCATGAAGGGTATTTGCAAGCGTGCTTCTCTTACAGGACTATCTTTTTAAAAAAAAAAGCTAAGGTAAACTTTTTGTTTTCTTTCCTTGGAAGTGTATTTTCCTATCTTTTGAAGTATCAGAGATTGAAATGCTTCTCACTTAGCTTACCTTTTACTAATCAAAAAAGAGTATCGAGCACAATGGTAAAACAAATGGAAATCCTGTGTATATGGGGCACTACTTTTACTGAAGCATAAGGCATGAAAAAGAGCTTTTTTTTTTTTCTTCTTTTTTTACCTTTTTTCCCCCCCGCAAACATAGCTGTATCTTTTACTCTTTATGCTCACTAGCTGGAAAGGAAATCCAGTACAAAGTTTCACTTCCCAGAAGCATCTGAGACTATGCACCACATACATCATCACTGAAGAATCGGGCACTGACACTGAAGTTGATTATTTATGGTGATCTGAATATTTAGGTAACGATGAAGTCAGTGTTGTAAGATTCTAAGCCTTTTACTGTTTTTCTTGATCCTTTATTCTTGTTCTTCTCATTCTGATCTCATCACATTTTTCAAGCTTCTGTCAGGGGTTTGTGCTTATCAATGTTAGTAAGTCTTTGTTCTTCTGAAAGCTTTAGGATCCACACATCTTCAGTTTTGCACTCATGTTCTTCATTCCAGTCTGACTTGGTCTGACTTCAGAGCAGACCAAACTAACAAAAGATAATAAAGAACTACCTACAGATAAACTGCAAATTACATATTACACACCCCAAAATACTATTCATCGATAATTCCTTTTGTTCCTTTTAGCCTGTTCTCCACTTCCTTTTAATTTCTGAGACACTGACTCTACAACAGAGCACAACTACAATGGAAATGGAGCCCTCTGAGCTAATTTTGCAGTAAAAGACAGTTGAGTGAAATGGAAGTCCTGTACTGTCCTAATGCATTGCAATGCACAAATTACCCTTTGGGGAATAGCAAAAAGCTGATTACTCTGAATTTTTTTGTGAAAATAGATTTATTCATTGGAAGTAGAACTCATGTGGTAATACTTCAGTTTTCACTGCTTCTAAAAGAGTATTTGGTTCTAACTAAAAGAGTTTTTCCTCCCCTGTGTTATCTCAGGATCAAAGTTGAGAGCACTCAGACCGGAAGATGAAATTTTCTTTCGTAAATAAGATTGTCCGTCCATACGGAGCAGGATCTAAACAGTTAGCGTGCTGGAATAGTTTTTCTTCCTTATTAAAATATTTTGGAGTTAAAAATAAGTGCTACAGTAGTTCTGTCAGCTTTAGATATATGTCAACAATTAACTTTATCACTTATTAGAATAAAATGCACTGATTAGGAGTTTTTAATCAGTAAAATCCACACATTTACTATGGGTTAATATTTAGATCTAGTCTGTAAAAACATAAGTACATGAGTGTAAAAGTTAATCATTAGGAAGCTAAATAGGTAATCCTGGCTTATTTAATCATTAGCAAGTGTACAAGGATTTTTAGATAGAATTTATGTGAACATTTTTTGGAATTCCTACCTTGAATTCCACGTTCTCCTGGTGGCCCTGGCAAACCATCCTTTCCTGGTGGCCCTGGTGACCCATCTTTTCCTGGGGGCCCTGGTTTACCATGAGCTTGGGAGGCAAGCATTGCAGCAGGCAGCTTCAGCTGGGATACAAATTGAGCCATCCTTTCTTCATTAATAAGAGACACAAGAAAAAGCGGGTAAGAAATCTGCTAGCAAATTACTGGTAAATAAATAAATCCCAAAGCACCAGCTAAAGTTTCTGGAAGTAAAGTGTTCAGTCCTTCTCAATGTCAAGGTATTGAATGCTCCAATACACACTGAGACCTTCAGTTCCAATTCAGACTCAGTCTGAGTCTTTACCCTTTGAAACAATCAGAATGAATTCATATTAAGTTTCTCTTACTAATCTCTATTACTAATGTATTTCAACATTTCTAATTACTTCTGACTCCTGTTCATGGAAATACTTAAAATACATAAACACAGAATAATTATTACTTAAAACACCTATGAGGGGCTACCTTATATGTTAATAACTCACATTAAGCTGCAAAGAAGAGATTAAATACCAAGAAAGGTTCTTGTAATGTGCTGAAACCCTAAAAACAGTTGTGAAAAAAACCTGAAAGTTCTCAGCAAAGATTATTAATTGCAGATATTTCAGGATGAACTATTCATGCTGGTGAATTAAAGTGCACTTGGTAACATTTTAATGTTCTTTAGAAATATACAAAATAGGTATTAACCTTGACTCTTGTCTCATTTAAAAAACCAGATTAAAACCTAAGTATTACACAACATAGCAGGTATTTTCTGTGGTAGAGTTTTAAGATTTAAGAAAAAAAATTTAGAATAGAGTGGCCATCAAACAAAAAAGAAGCAAGGTGATAGAAAGCAGGCAAAGTGAAACAATGTCAAAAAATGGAAGATCTGTGGGAACACTATTGAGGTGTAGAAAATGCAATGGCTAGAAAGACAAAACTCCGTTATTCCCTGTAGGCAGGACACCTTATTTCTGTGAATGGACTAAATACTATTTGAATTATGAGAAGGAGGTGACTTCAGCCAATAAACTGCTCTTGAAATGCATAGCAGATTGAACTCCTGAGGGGTAGTACTCTAGGGAGAGGTGAAAATACACAAAATGATAGCCTTGTTATAAAGGCTATAAAAACTGTCTGAACAGGTTAAAAAGCTTTGTATTATTTCTTTTATACCTAAAAGATAAAATGGGTTTTATCCACAAATATTAATGACAAAATAGCGAAGTTGAAGACGTAAGAAATGCATTTTGCAATGGAAGAGAAGCTACTGTTAAGAGGTGTTCAAGCAGAATCTTGTTTCAGACACCTACCTGAGTCACAGCTTTTCAACCATGACTAAGGAAATGCTGGGGAAGAAAAATATTTCCTTTTCAGAGTATGGACTCATCTAAGAAATCTTACGTAATACAAAGGCCTTGGCTGAATCTAGTATTTGCCTTAAACAGTGCCAGAACATGTTGGTCTTTCAAGGGATCTGTGGAACTCAGCAGGGATATCTGCTGAGAAAACTGCATAGCAGTTTAGACCAGCATGACTGAAAGCTATTAAACCTTCCTCTCATTTAAATAGTCATTCAATATGAAGGCAAAAAATTTAAATATTTCTATTGTCTCTATTAACTCTTCAATGGCTTACATATGTATCTACCACATATTATTATCTGCAATAAAATAAGATACATATATTATCTACAGTGATACATACCTATGCTTGCTATTATGATTTGGAGCAGGCTACCTTTTAATGCTAATCTTTTACATAAGGAAATACTCTGTTTAACACATACTATGGCTTGTAATTGAACAGAATTATGTAAACTCGTTAAACATAGCTACAGGAACAAGGCAGCTGCTAAGTGTAGTATAAGCTGGATGACATGTAAAGAAATTTAGAGCAGAACTTAAGAACTTATATTTAGCTGTATAATACTTCATATTCTCACCTTCAAAAACCTTAAGAACCTCTTGTTTGATATATTTTTTTATTTCTTCAAGTGAAATTGCATCAGCCTGATGAAGAAAAAGGAAAGTGATATGTATCAGAAGCAACACACATAGCACTTTATAATGTTACAAAAATAAAAAGTGCTGAAATTAGCATTAAAAATATAAACCTTTCACCAACAAATGTTTCAATATATTTGTGTTATTTCCTTAACTGAAAAGGCCACTTTACTGCAAATACATTATAATATTATAAAGACACTATTGCCATGAAGTGGAAGAGGCACACCCAGCTGTCAAGATGACCAGCATTTTAAGTGTACGGAAATCAACCTGCACAAGACAGAAAGGTTGTGCAGTGACACTACTATGCTTCACATGCCTTTTGCATAGCACCTGCCAACTTCTAACCCCCTCTAGGGACTAACTGCTGTGGTGCACAGCCAGCTAGAATAGAACCACAGCACCAATAACACCACTGGAAAAGTTTTTTAGAGCTTTACTTTATCTAATTGAGGTTAAAAGTATCCACAACATGTGTGCCTGTGTGCACATGGAAACAAACCAAGATATCTGCAATCAGTAAGCAGCATTTCACTGTCTTTTTAAATGTTGATTTCCCTTCAACTGAGAATAAATTTTGCCTGCCTCCTTTTCTTTCCCATTTGCAAAGACACTCTAGCTCTTAAGCTTACAGAAGATGTGAAAATTAACTGTATTGAAGAGCCATATTAATATGCAGGAACTAAACAAATAAATAATTCAAGTTTATTCATAGCAGACATTTAAAAATATTTATTAAAAATAACTGCCTGATCATCTGGATTTATTTTTCCACCCCTTAACTGAAGACCGAAATTATCTGAGAGAAAGCCTCAGTTTTTCTAAGACAGTGGTATTGCTCAGTTGAATCTGCACTGCTCAGCACATGCTACCTTCACATTGCATGAATTTCCAAGCAACCAAGGTAAACTTCTATTTACTTACTGGAAACCCTGGGGGTCCTGGTGAACCTGGGGGACCTTGATGACCTGGTGATCCTGGATAGCCTCTGTTTCCTGGTGGGCCAACAGGACCCACATCCCCCTTTTCTCCTGTTGGGCCAGGTTTCCCTCGTTCACCCTGTGGACCTCTGTCCCCTGGAATACCCTGATCTCCCTATGTAAAATAAAAGCAAAAAGAAAATCACTGCACATAGTGGAATAAACCTGGAAAAGTCAGCCGAGAATTCTGAAGAGAAAATTCTTGCCTGTTCAGAAATAGACTGAGTCATGAAGGGAAGCTGATTTTACAGGTTAAACCTTGTTTCTGAAAATACATTCTATTTTCTTATGTTTTTCACGTTGAAGTCAATAGAAAGAACAGTTTGATTCTGTAACCCACTTTTCAGGGACAGGACTTGGGTACAGAAAGTTTTTAGCCCTTATATAAGGATCTAGAAATGTCAATTATGGCATATGTAAAATGTAGGTACTCAAATTCACAAAGGCACAGGGCACCAGGATTTTTCCTGTAACTTTCCTCAGAAGCCCAATATTTTTTGTCTTCATTTACACAAAACTTTAGTTAATCAAAGAGACAACTAGCACACAAGTTACTTTCAGTACCTAAAGGGGGCCTACAGGGAAGCTGGTGAAGGACTTTTTACAAGGGCGCGTAGTGCTAGGACAAGTGTTCTGGCTTTTAATTGAAAGAGGGCAGGTTAAGATGTGACATTAGGAAGAAATGTTTTACTGTGAGGGTGGTGAGGTACTGTAACCGGTTGCAAGAGAAGTTTTGGGTACTCCATCCCTGTAAGTGTTCAAGGCCAGGCTGGATGGGGCTTGGAACAACATGATCTCATGAAAGGTATCCCTACCCATGGCATGGGAGTTGGAACTAGATATTATTTAAGGTCCCTTACAACTCAGGCCATTCTGTGATTCTATGATATACATTTCTCAGGTTTATAACCCTGCAGGAAAGGTATAGAAAGCTGTTCTAGTAGAGATAAAGAAAAAGGCAGGTTTCTCTTGGACCATGGCGCTATGGCGGTTTGAAGCTGATCCACTTCTTCTAAACAATTCACATTTTACAGGCTGCCAATGTGTAGGAAGTAAATCAAATACTACAGCAACTTTTCAAACAAGCTTTTCTGACTGCCTCCAGTGTTTTCTTTGTGTTTTGAAGAAGGTCCTTGTAAAACTACAGAAAACTAGGTCATATCTTCCTCCAGATTCCTCTTTAAATACTCCACTATGAATTGTACAAAACTCAGGATATTTGTGTTTTATGATCTCTGCATAAGGTGCTGATTTATTCAGTCCTTCTCCTTTCTAGTGTTCTCCCGTCTCTTACATTTTATCTTATACTAAATTCTATATAGAAGAAACTACTGTTTTTTCCTGGGTTTCTACATGCTCTTGTCCAGTAGGCTAACAGTCTGTGATCAATGTATGCAGATAATAGCAATAAACGAGCCAGTCACTAGTACTTTTATCTGTTGAAATGACTTAAAAACTGCATTTCTGATTGATAAAAACCATGTATTTTCAACTACTTTTGTCACTCAGTTTATAAAGTAATAATAACAGCAGTGTTTAGTCACTCCAACAAGATTATTTCAGCCCAGGCAGCTTACTCCTTCTTAGAATGGATTCTGTGAGGATGTACTTAAATGAGATGTGAAAACCTCAAGAGTTTTATTCTGTCATGTGAGTTCCTTTCTGTAACAGTAACAGCTGATGTCAGGCTGAAGGAGTATGGTGTATGGTTCTGGCTGCCAGGAAACCTTGACTTTATTTTCTGTAATCACTTCAATGTCTCTCATAGATGCAGGTCTATGTCCTTAAAAGCAAAACCAGAACACTGAAAACTGTAATAATGGTTAAAACCACATGTCTCTTCAGCATCATAAAGCAGCATTTCCTTTTCCACATCACACAGGGAGATGCTTTTCTGATTCATCAAACAAATGTAGTATCCATTGGATTAGGACATCAGGGTTTTAGCAACCTTATAATAAGAACATCTCATATATATTTATATACACATACATAAAAAAACTCATCTCTCAACTCCTGTAATCATTCCTGTCCACCATAATCTTGTTACCATGAACAGAACTGTCTAAAGAGTTTGGGAAGCAGTAAGGCATAGCACTGGCATTTCTGCTGCCTAAGTGCGACAAGCTTGTTTTATATAAAAAATGATTTGTGTTGTGACATCCCAAGGATGACAATAGGGCAGGTTCACAGCTTTTGCAAAGTCTGACAACACAACAAGATTAGCTGCATTTCGATTTTCAACCTACTGATCAATTTACACTGTGCAGGCCAACTGTGTTAGAAAGTCTGTAAAATGTGTTTTTCCTCCAAATGCAGAAGAAAATTCAAATCTAATTCCTTAAAGTGGTATCTAGGACTAAACATCTTAGGTGTCCAAGAGACTGCTTGAAGTTCACAGAGAATTAATTTCTTGGTTTTGCCTATAAAATATGTGATGATGAGGTGCTTAGATGCTCAGTAAAAAGATAAAAAGTTATCATAATAGGGGACTTACACGTTCTCCTTTGGGTCCTCTGTCTCCTGGTCTCCCCACGGCACCCTGAAAAATGTTTTTTGAAAAAAGACAAACCTATCAATTAAAGGCTTTGTTGTATATTCCTTTGTTAGCAGAACTGAAAGCAACTGCCTAGGATTGACAGCTATGGTATCTGTGAAGAATAAAATACACAAAAGCTTGTTTTCCTACCGGAGGACCTGGCAATCCATCTTTTCCATTGATTCCCTAGAAAAAAAAAGAAAACACAACTTTTTAATAAATAGACTAAAGTGTTTTAAAAATACAAGGGGTAAAGCTCAATATTTGGTGCCATATCACTAAATATTCTGAAGCTGCAGAGGCAGAAGTGTGTGGTTATAATATAGAAATACAGAACCCATTGAGAAGTGCATCAAATTTTATGAGTATTCAACTTTAAAGGACGAGTTATATATGGACCTGTACATGCACTTTTTCAGTACCAGGTAGTCATTATACAACCACAGAAGAGATTTCTCTTCTTCTAAATATTAGCCCTGATGCCCTATTACCCCTCTGCTGCTGCAGGGATTATGCCTTAATATTAAGTGTCCAGTTCCACTCCTTGCTTCTTAGGACTTGTAGCACAGAACAGTTTTGGTCTCCTGGGCTAAACCTATTTCTTTCCTAAAAGAAGGTGCTCTCATTCATGCCGCCTGCTGGAAACTGTTCCAGGCCCACGTTATCCTCCAAGCTGGAATGTGGCATTATCATAGAATCATAGAATCAACTGGGTTGGAAGAGACCTCCAAGATCATCAAGTCCAAGTCTTGATCCAACACCGCTGTGGTTACTATACCATGGCACTAAGGGCCACCACATCCAGTCTCATCTTAAAAACCTCCAGGGATGGTGAATACACCACCTCCCTGGGCAGCACATTCCAGTGCCTGATTACTCCCTCTGTAAAAAATTTCTTCCTAATATTCAACCTAAACCTCCCTTGGCACAGCTTAAGATCATGTCCTCTTGTCCTAATGCTGGTTGCCTGGGAGAAGAGACCAACCCCACCTGGCCACAACCACCTCTCAGGTAGTTGTAGAGAGTGATGAGGTCTCCTCTGAGCCTCCTTTTCTCCAGGCTAAACAACCCCAGCTCCCTCAGCCTCTCCTCATAGGACTCAAGTCCCTTCACCAGCCTGGTTGCTCATCTCTGGACCTGCTCCAGCACCTCAATATCCTTCCTGAACTGAGGGGCCCAGAACTGGACACGGCACTCCAGGTGTGGCCTCACCAGAGCTGAGTACAGGGGAAGGATCACTTCCCTGCTCCTCCTGGCCACACCGTCCCCAGTCCAGGCCAGGATGCCATTGGCCTTCTTGGCCACCTGGGCACACTGCTGGCTCATGTTCAGCCTCCTGTCGATCCAAACTCCCAGGTCCCTTTCTGCCTGGCTGCTCTCCAGCCACTCTGTGCCCAGCCTGTAGCACTGCAGGGGGTTGTTGTGGCCAAAGTGCAGGACCCGCCACTTGGCCTTGTTGAACTTCATCCTGTTGGAATCAGACCATCTCTCCAGTCTGTCCAGGTCCCTCTGCAGAGCCCTCCTGCCTTCCAGCAGATTAACAAGGCCCCCCCCTGCCCCCCCAATTTAGTGTCATCTGTAAATTTGTTAATGGGACACTCAATCCCCTCATCCAGATCATCAATAAAGGTATTAAACAGAACTGGGCCCATCTGAGGGTCCTAGTTGGTACGGGCCAAAATAATGTCAGAGAGTATATTAACAATTGCACAATGCCAGATAATTTCAAGATAAATGCTCTAGCACTGTTTAATTTAGTAGGATGTATATGGATCTGCACATGCAGCAAACTCACTGCTGTTTCACTGAGTCAGAATAAAGGATTTGCATGAGCAGAGACGTCAGGAATATTTCTTTCCCCCTTAAACTGTAAAATGGAGTTTTGTACTGATTAGGCATCTTGGGCTAATTTGCTGCTGAAGCTACAGAAATTGTTGTTTTAAGCCAGCTTGGACAGTGCTGACCACACTGCTGTCACACTTTTATTGCATAAACAGGTCAGATTAGACACATCTTAAGTGAATAGTAAATGCCTCAGTTGCAGTGTTGCATCATCTGTATAAAGGGGAGTCAAAAGTTTATTCAGAGTCATGAAGCACATGCTTCTCTATCTAAACTGAATCTGAGAACGTATTCTGTCACCCCATTCTTTATAGACTGTGTTAAGTTTCTGGGTTTATATTCCCCCTCTGGAAAAAATACAAGAGGAACCTTTATGTCAACAAAATCCAAATGACCTTCATAAGACCTTTAAAGGCAACATCTCAGTAAAATTATCATTAAAACACCACAATACCAGGAATTCTTTCCTAGATGGTTAATACTGAGCGCTGAAGCTCAATGTGTTCTTCAGATATTACCTAGCCTAACATAAAGCAAGATATAATGTAATTTCTTGTGTAACTTCTGATAAACTAAGACATCTTTTTGTATATATTCAGTATAAAATTGCTTACTGGTTTTCCTTGTGGCCCTTCTGGACCGGGGAAGCCTATATCTCCTATAGGTCCTCTTTCACCCTAAGAAAGAAGAAAATGCATATAAATCCGTCAGTAAAATCTTGCAGCAGGTGTTTGAAATATTCTTGTATTACCGTAAGAATCCGGAACTCAAATCTGTACTTACAGGTTCCCCTGGCATCCCTGGGGACCCAGGAGATCCTGGCTTTCCCTGCAAACAGAGAATATTACAGACTCAAATTACTAGGAAGTAAAATAGCATTTTTCTCTAGGTAAAAAATAGGAGAGAATATATATGTGAATGAAATATTCACGTTCTTGTTCATTATTTAATGAAAAATCTTGCTCTTTTGTACAACGTTACTCAATCTCTGGGTTTTCTTTACACTTTCTGAATACTGAGATAATATTTTCATGAAGTTTTCTCTTACAACACCATGATTTCCATAATGAGAAGTCACAGGCAGATCAAAGTTTATCACTGTATATGTAAAATCAAGATTAAGGTCCTGCCTAGTCCTGGGGTTTTTTTGTGTGTGTGACTTTATTACTGCCTTTTGCAAATTTTCTTCATGCTCTTTTTTGGCTATTTTTATTTTTGTTTTATGTTTAGCCTGCCAGAATTCACAATTCTCTCTCATCTCATCATTTAGATGCTGATTTTAAATGTCTCTTCTTCTCTCTCCTTATATATATGCATATATATAATGGTTATCTTTCAACAACTTTTTTTAACTGAAAAGATTAGTGACAACTTTGGGAACAAAAGGACTGAGGATTCGTGCTGAGGAAACAGGCATTGATGGCAATGCTTGCAGAAGTCTCAGCCCAAGCTTCCCTGATAATCCCAGTAATCTCAGCAAAGTGCCAAAGTGTAAATAAGAGGTTTATATTCTCAGATGGGAAAAAGAGTCCACTATTCAATCTAGGGAATAATGACAGGTAAGGAAGACAAAATATTTTCCAGTAAGATATGTGGATATGTTTCACACTCTTCCTATGCTGCTGAAAAAGTTGTTTCTCATATGTCTAGTAAAACTGCTTAGCATAAAATATAAAAAGAAAACAATTAATTTCAGGAGGAAATAATTTATATCAGTTCATTTTATTAGAATTAAGTATAATCAACAGAATGCAACTCCATCAGTGATGAAGGGACCTCATTAAATATTTCATATGCTACTTGAATAGACAACATCCAATGACTTGGAAATACATAGGGAATGAACAATTGTGATAATCTTAACCAGCTACTGCATTATTATTCACAGTGTGAAATATATTTCAGAGCAACAAATTTTGAAACTCTTACATCTGCTATAAAACTCAGAGAAATACTCTTTTTCTCTTAAATGTGCAATTTGCTTTAGGAGAACCTCATGAAATTAAGCTGTTTAAGATCTTGTTCTCTCTTAGAACTCACAGTAAATAGACTAAATCAGTGGCTAATGGAAACGGGAGTGCATAGACACAAACTTCTTTTTATTTCGTGAAACACATATTTATAATTTAAACAGCTCCTAAATGGATTGGTAGCTGCCCAAATTTAATAATAAATCTATTTGCATATAAATAACTCCATATTGCCTCCTGAAATATGGATAAACTTTTTTATTAAACTGTGAATGCAACAGAACATATTCATTTCCTTTAGGAACACAAATGAATAATTATAATTTCAATTTATCATTAGTTACACTTACTTTCACCTACAACAAAGTTTCTGGATGACTTTCAGAAACCTCTCTGAATACCACACATAAATAGCTGACAAAGCATTCCCCTAAAGCAAATGTTTGATTGACTTGATATGCAGATCCTTGTGGATTGCAATAACCAGTGTTCATAATTTCTCTTTGTGATAGAAAGATGCTCAGAAATTTGTGCATGCCCATGAACACAGAAAAAGTCTTTATCTATATTAAATAGAGGCAATGAGAAGAATCTCATATTCTTTCCTACCTAAGTAGCTTAAAATTCCAGCTTTATCATGAATTCACACCACTCCCTCCTGTCATTTTAATAATAATATGAACCCTCAGTGCTAATAAAAATCTAATTTCTTTAGGAAAAACAGAATCTTCCTACCTGCCTATAAAGTATAAGCCAAGCACTCATGTCCCAGAATGATAGAGATTACAGCTCAGCATCTTGCTTGACCTGTTTTTTCAGCTTCTAAAAAACTGAGTTTTCTTTCATGAATATACATACCGGTGTCCCTGCTACTCCTGGTGTGCCAGCTGGTCCACGGTCACCCTGAAGAAAAGATAAATCTATACTTAAATGGCAACAATCAAAACAGAAGTTTGTTTGTGGATTCCCATTAAAACCTGAGGAATGATTATTCAGTGAACTGAAAACGAGGACAAGAGCCAGGCTCTGCTAAATGCTAATATTTATCTCTGCCACTGGCTCATTTTACAAACTTGAGCAAGTAACCAAAATCCTTTGCTTAGGTTCTCCTATATTATATTTCTATGCTATCCCTTTGATTGTGCTTCAGGTCTCCCTTGAAAAGGGATGGAAAGTCCCTGACTTATCTGAAGCTGTCCAACTGTCCCAGTGGTTATTCTGGACCCAGAACTTGATGTGTTTTCCCTGTATGGTGGCCATGACAACAAAACTCAAAATTCCTAACACTTCCACTGCAACTTTTTTCTTTTCTTTTTCTTTTTTTTTTCTTTTTTTTTCCCCCCAGGCTTACTGTGGTCCTTTCAGCAATGTGTTTTGCTGCATGGCTTCACAAACCACTGTGTCAGCACAGTGATTTGTGAGGGAAGGGACATTTTATCCAGAGGACACAAAGTTCTTAAACCAGTTCATGAAATTATCATGAAATTACAGCCAACATTTGTCTGTGGAAGATTGAATTCTGCTGCACAGAGGTGCATAACAGTTCTATATTAAAAACCAGAATGTATTATACTGTTGGAACTGGCAGGCTCCAAGACTCTGTTCATTTATTTGCACCAGAAATGTGGAATTTTGATCAAATTTAGTTAAGGAAAAGATATTTTTACTTTGGGAAAGGGCCAAACACCCACTTAGTTGGTTTATACAATCTGATCCATTGCTTATTCCCTTTATTTAATTCCTGTCCCCACTTTGTCTCAGTTAGACCTGTAACATCTCCCTGTGTTTGTTCATTTTGAAATCAAACTAGTCTTTATTTGCTTGTAAATTGAAGTATTACAGAGCAGGAATCATCTCACGTAATTTAAGCATCTACCTTAAATCTTATCACTCACCACTTTGCACAAGTAGGAGTAATGCACAGATATACCGAGAGAGAGAAACTTTATTTTACGTTGCTTTTTGGTGAAAAAAATGTTTCAGTAAACTAATTTTTTATGAAGTCATTGGATAACGTAATTCAAAAAGCTGAACAAATACTTCATTTGCAAAAGAATTTACTCATTTTTCTTCTTAAATTTATGGGCAAAATCAAACTGCTTTTGCTAACAGAAAGCATATTTATGCATTTTTTAATTTCTGTGATGTTTTGTACTTTGCCATATTTAGGAACAAATAACAAAATAGTGACATTTTTAGCATTTCATGACAAGTTGCATTCATAATCGGCCTCCACAACTAGCAAGCAAAAGGCTGAGAAGCAGACAGACGGAATGCAAACATAAGACAATGTTCAATAGAGAACAGGAACTAGTAACCATATCTAGAAACATGTTAACTATATTATTATCAAGTACAGCAGTGTTCTACCAAGTTAAGACAACAAAATATTACAAGACCTCCCACACAGAGTTTTCCAGTTGCAGAAAATGAAATGTTATGTTGGATGAATATATGATCTAGATTCACAGTAAAGCAAAAAATTATAGATAAATATGCCAAGATTTTTTCACACAGAAATGTTAATACACCAAAAAAAAAAATCAAACATGGTTTCAGAAAACATTTAGTTGCAAGTAGTGTCCACTAAGAAGAAGCCATGATTTCTTTTTAAGAGTCCTACCTTTTCCCCTGGGAGTCCTTCCAGTCCTGGTAAGCCCATTGGTCCTGGGTCTCCCTGATTTTTATTTTTTTTAATTAAAAAGGATTGTATACATTAGAATTTCAGTACTCGACTTGAGAAATGTTGAACAGCAAGCAACAGCAGATTATTTAACCTGTGATTAGTAAACCAGCTAACCAGTTATTAGGTGAACAGATTTTGTTACACTCTGTTTTACTGATCTGCGAATTAAATTTTTCTCAGAGGCACTGTGTGAATATTTGGATCAATGGTTTAATTTTGATGAAGAATGTAATCCAGAAAAGTCCACTTCAGTGCTCTTGCAAGCCAAGGTCACCTCTAAAGCACCTCCAGGCAGCAGAGTCTTGGGATGTAAGCATACCCTGTCAATCAGAGAACCAACCTCCAAGCAATTCAGTGCTCTCTTCCCTGAAAAAAGGTCACTCTGCAGGAAGGGATGCACAGGCTGGATCCCTGGTTAGGTCTTCAAGTTTTGAAAGAAAACCAGAAACATGCTCTACTAGAGAAATCAGGTTACCATGTAGAGAGGGGAAGCCCTATTAATTGTTTTTTGAAAGAAAATTGATCATTAACCATGGAGATTTAAACTACAGCCAACAATTTCAGTATTTCAGCAATTGTCAGTTAAATTAAAAGCCATGGCAAATTGATGTCTGGATTTCCTGAAGTCTCTGACAGATCTCTCCTTCCGCACCTGAACTCTATTTGGTAGCTAGTGTTTCCTGAGTAGGAAGTGGATGTTGATACAGAAAGATTTATTCAGCTTCTGGGCATCATGGTGAAAAAAAAGAGGCTTTGTGAGTTCTTTTGAAAACAGATTATTCAGCTGTTTTAGAAAACTACCCCACAACTCCAAGTTTTGCTGTCACTGCTGAGGGGTTTTCATTTGGGTTTCTTCTTGTCCTTGAGAAGCACAGTTATCACACTGGTTCATAGATCAAAATGCACTTTTTCATGTAGCTGACTTTCCATTAACACTTAGCAAGGAATCAAACATATTCCTAAACCCTGCACAAGCTGGCTGAGTGGAGATTATGCACCTTCATGACAGATGAAATCCAAGCTGGTCTTAAAGATACTACCTTCCTATATCACTTTGATCTTGGTTGGGTCAGTGTGAGCTAGCTGCACTTAATTCTGCTACTATATTTGTGTAGATACTGTGCCCTCACTGGCAGGAAAAAAGGTACATCTAAATGGTACTGTCATGCTGCGCTTTCATGAGTAGAGATTTCTCAGTAATTTCACACTGAATCAGAAGACAAAGACTCCATAATATGGACCCAAGTCAGAAGACAAGAACCCTTCAACAAGAGAAGACACTCCTCATCATCATCATCATCTTCCAAACACTGTGGCCTGATGTGTTCAGACAAGGTCGGTCTCCAGTGACATTTAAACAATCCATGTGCTCTCCTCTGACCCTGATTCTTTATTATCATGCATTCAAGATGTTGGCTGAACCATCTCCTTATTTAGTGTGCCCACGACTAACAATATGAAGACAGGACAGCAGCTGAAGAGGTCAAATGTCAGCTTCTTGGTGGTTGAATGAACTCCTGAATGGAACCCTGAAGCAATTTGTTTCATTAGCAGCAGGCAGAGATGTTACTTGCTTTGCTGGAAGGGACATGAGTTTGTTTCAAAAATGCTCTCTCCAATATTTTTTAGGGTTTTCTGATCTTTATCAAGTAGATAATTTACTGGAATTTTAACTGTTGTGGAAGCACTTATCCAATTTTTTAAACAATATCTATTTAAAATGATACTCGATACTATCATAGTTTTTGGGCTCAACCATCAATACTCAAGTGTTACTATTATCTTTTGGGTATTTTCACTAATGTCCAGCCATCAAGACACAATACCTGGGAGTTTCAACTTTGCCACCTTCAAGTCTAGGAACTGTACAAACATACTGCAAGACGACGACAAATATATTTTCTCTATTACAAAGGCAAGGTATACACATGCATTGAGGACTTTGGAAAATGTACACCCATCCAGGGTTTGGATCTACATTCTGCTGGCAGCTAACCCTATGCAACTGCTCAAGATTCTTCCCCTACATGTCTTTCCCCTCCTCAAAATTTTTAAAGAACAATCATGGGAAAAGGACATAACACTGTTTAATGTAAAAAAAAAGAATCAAAAAGTTTGTGCTTTTGAATGTCAAACTGTATAGCTGAAAGGTATAGTGGCTCCTATTGGTCATCATCCTCTTGCTCACAAGAAGCAATGGGATCATACTTTAAGTAGCCATCACACCATTTCAAAGAAAACATCAATTTCTACTTGTTACCAACTGGCATGATGTAGCACACACTGTTCCTTGACCATTATCACTTTCAAATTTAATATTGAGAACAATCTAATAGCTCGAAAGATATTTTCTGCCTTTATTTCACCTTCTCTGGTCTTAGATATATCCAGAAACAGTTCAGTAGAGATGAATTCACAAGCAGTTAATACTATGTTCATTCACTACATTTTCACTTAGAACTATTTACCAAAATTGCAAAATTTGTAAGCCTGGCAATTAAAAAGGCTTTTTCAGGTGTACTGATTCTTCAGGAGGTAAGCTACCTGCTAAAGAACTTAAATAGACTCTTCTACCCTTGTAAAGACTATCGTGTCAAACTAGGAGAGTTTTCTATTAAGACCAAAAAAAGACATACATACCACTTTTCCAGGATCTCCTTTTGGACCCTGCAGAAAAAAAACCAAAGTGGAATCACATTTAAAGAATGTCTTACACAAAAAGATGATATTTTTTATGACTGCATCATGAGTATACTTTGCTAATGCAGTGCATTTAGAATCAGTATTAATTCCAGCCCTCTCAGCTGATTAACTTAGTATAAAATCTTAAAAATATTTGGGGTTTTTTTTGCTGTTCCAGGATAGAGAGAAAGACAGCTCTGCACTTTGGTGCCAGCCCATGACCACAAATGGACAAAATACTTAAAATAAATTACTCTCCAAAATGTGCTAAAATACTTAATAAACATAAATTCACAGACTTTATATCATTTGCTACATATAGATCATATACTTATTTTTTTCAATCTTTCACATATAAAATCAAATTCTACACAACCAATCAATCTCCCTCTTACTATGTCTATTAGCTATTAGAAATTAGATTTCTGATAATACTTACGGGAGGTCCTGGTGGACCTGGATAACTAGGGACACTCACACCTCCCTGTAACAGCAAGTTTAAAAGTTGAGTTGGGCCAAAATTAGGTATGGATTGAAAAAAAAAAACAATTAACATTAAAGAAAAATACCTGCAGTTTATATAAGCTGCTCATTCCATTTCTTTCATTGTAAGGCATACCCTTTAAAGCATAAAAACCAAGTAAGTGTCATTTATGAATTATAAAGGCAGAATTATTGTCCTGTTCAAGTCCTGTAGGCTGGTAAACCTGTGGTATATTTTTTTTTCTCAATTTGTCAGAGATTCCAGACATTTCAAAAGAGCACAAGACACATACCAATGCAGCTTGGGACCTTTTTTTTTAATGATAAAAGTAGAAACCTGGGAATCGCAGTATATGTTATATTGATATTTATTATTATAATTCTGCAGAATAAATTTTGTGTTAGGTACTGTTCCACTTAATTAGGAGTCCAGAGTCTTTCCCCATGTTCCCCGAGTTCTCTGATCTGAGATACCCAAGCTCTCAAATTACTCTAATAACACTGGACACCAAGGTTAACTAATTTGACCAGGTTTCTAGGAGGGCTTTAGTGACCTCAATTTACTCAGTGATGAATCACAAGAGAAAAAAAAAAAGGAATACAGAAACATTTTGAAAAAAGAAATTTTTTTCAATCCTGCAGTACTAACATGTATTAGATTGCCAGTTGGTTCCTTTTATTACATTACATTTTACTCACAGGTATATTGTTCTTAATATGACATTTAAAATATAAAACAAAATGTCTCACCGGAGGCCCAGGTGGTCCAGGTTTCCCAGGAGAACCTTCACTACCCTAGTGCAGCAAGAGATTCGTAAGACTTATTTACTGTAGCTGGACAGATTTATTCCCTACTTCAACTATGATGACCATAATGACAATAAACAAGAGATACAGTCAATACAAGCAGGTAATATCAAGAATAAATTCTCCCACCCACTAAGTTCCTGCTTAAGTTTTAGGCAAGTTATGAATCATTACTTTGTACTAGTCTTTTATTTTGTTTGTTGCTTGCTGCTTTAGGTGTAGTAACCTCCTTATGGTAAAATAGTAGCGGTACCCTGAGTTGTGAAACATTTCATAGGTACCAGGAGGGAGAGGAAGATAAAAAAAAGAAAAAAAAGATTTGTTAATATGAATTTCTTAGCAACTGGCAGATAAAAGTTAACATTCATTTTATTCTTTGTATGTTATTTTGTAAAAGCCAGTCCTCAATTGATCATTCATATGTAAATAAAGAGCTACAGTTCAGTTTATGTAGACACATACTGAATAAAAATTGGGATTTTTAAAAAAAATCTTTATTAAGAGAAATAATGAACATATTTTTGGTTTTTATTACAAAATATTAATCTGTTGTTACCTGTATTTGTAGTCTGTTCTGCTGATGTGTACTGAATTGCTTATATTAAAAAAAAATACAGCTGCTGAGATTTTTCCCCAGCAGAATGGTGGGGTCTCTAACTAGTACAGAGTTACAAAGGTTTAAATAAAAAATTTCCCAAAAAATCTTTTCAAAATCTTATCATTACAATTCAGTTAAATACACTGTATAATTTGAAACAAGTCTGTCAGAATTTTTCATTGACTTTGTTGAATCCTCTTAAACATATCTCAGTGAGACCCTTAACTCACATAGTTAAAATTACTAAGGTGGCAAAAATCAAGCTAAGTGTTCAATGCCACCAGAAAAATGTAATTGTAATTAAATCTTTATACTAGAATAATTTTCAAATGGTCCTGCTAATTGATAGAAACAGCCTCCAAAGTGTAGTATGGAATAGTTCCTGGGGAATTAAAGTACTATTATTTTAGAAATCATATTCATCTTTTCTCAAATATACCCCCCAGATGAAGGGGAGAGGAGAAAATTACTGGGGCTGTATTTCAGCTTTCTTCGTCACTCTTCAGCCATCTTTTTGCCCTTTTTGAATGATGAACAAACTATAGAGCAGTGGCTTCTCATTTTCACTTGTGTGTGAATTGTGAACAAGGAACTAATAAAAACTTGTGTTCTACATTCAGTTATATAAAAATGAAATAACTGGGGTAAATTTTTCTTATCGTGGTCTGCAAGGAGAAAACTGTCATTCAAATTTTTATACTGAAAAATTCTTAGGAGTTTTACAAAATAGTTTCCCTTCTTACACAGAGTCAAAGTTTTGTAGAGTATTAGTAGGATCCCACACATTGATGTGGCAGTGTTATGCCTGGAAAACTCCAAGGTAATAAAGAAAAAAACCCCACAGCTGTATTCATACATAAAAAGGAGAACTTGTACTAGAAAGTATTTTTCAGCAAACTAAGTTTGTCTCTGCTGTATTTGTCTGATCTGAGGAACACGGAAAATTATTCTGACCTCTTAGTTACAATGGATAATACTGAGCGCCTAATAAAAGAACACATAAGTTTGAAAAAAAGCAGTGCTACAAAAGTGTAAATTAACTATAAAGGAAGCTTATGCAATGGGATTGCAAAACCTTCACAGATCTTTACCAACACTAAAAAGAAGGAATACCTTTTCGCCTTTTGGCCCTGCTGGACCAGGATGTCCAGGTCTTCCTGTGACTCCCTGCACAACACAGAATTCTTTATATTAGTTAGGAAAAAATTAAACACAGTATTCTGACATCATCTCTAAGTTTTTAAAACTTCTGCTTTTTGAAGGTCATTTAAACCTAATTATGCTTCTTCTTCAGGTTTAAATATTTCTCTTCTGTCTGATATAACAGCTGTGTCCTTCGGATAAGTCCTTTGAAGGGTAAAACTTGTGTTTGCAGTTGCATTTTCGCCTTGGCGAGCTAACTAAATGCACTGACTCTAACTGGCACATCTTGGTACTGCTAAGAATCATGTATTACTGCTAAAATGTTTATATATTCCACATTAAACTTCCTACATGTGCTACAGTTTTTGAAAGAAGCATTAGTATTGCCATGAAACCTGGGAATGAATAATGATCATACTAACTAATGTGATTCCACTCAATATGTAGAAAATAAAATTTGAAACAATCTTAAAGAGGACCTTTGCCAATAATACAAAAAATTCTAATGATATATTTCAGTGTCTTTAAATACTGTTAGCTTATTTTCATAGTTTGTTTTTGATTTGTGAAACCAAGAAATTACAGAACAAAAAAGAGAATGCAAGTAATTACTTAGTTTCAGCACTGAATTTTTGCAGAACTACGAGCTAGAATTATTTTTAGATTTTTATTACAAACACGAATATAACTTGGGTACAAAGACATAATTCAGTGCAAGTGTGCACACTGTAAGTCATGTAGCCTCACACATTCTCTAGTAATGCTAAAACGTCAAACCTATTTAAGTTACATAAACCTTGCGCCCAGAACACGATAGTATTTTCAGTAACATCAACACCAACATAGTTTACTTTACTAGAGCCAGTATGGGCAAGGTTTTATTAATACTGTCCTAAAAGACAAAAGAAAGGACAAAAGAAAGGACTGCTGCAGGCAGCTACAGCAACCTCTGCAGAGATAAATGAGATCACAGGTGATACCAAACACTTACAGATGGTCCACTGGGTCCTGGTATGCCTGGCAGTCCAGGAGCACCTTGAAGACCCTGGAAATTAAAAGAGCACAATTCTAGTTCCTCTCCCACTTTTACATCAAAAATACTTATATTCAGCATGCCCATCAGTATTACAACTATATTAAAATGTGTTTTCTTCTAAAAGGTATGCATTATTTTTAGTAATGATAAAAACCAACACCCAGACACATGCAGGGAAGAGATTATCATTGAACAAGGTTAGAGGCAACTTCTTCCTTGAGTGATAAACATCACTTATCCTTCAACCTTTCACATTGTTATCTTATGTCTCGTAAATCTTTTTGTCTTTAGTTGTGTAGATAAGAACAGGACATCTAGCTTTTCCTTAGACATTAATTTTCTATTTTCTGTCACTAAAAGGCTCTTTTTTTGGTGAGAAGACATTTACTCAGACTTTTCCATGTTTCCTGATGCTGTCTAAATGCAACGGTGTTCTCTGCCTGATTTATAGATTTTGATTTTTTGGTAATGGAACATGACATTTTACACAGTATTTAATGATCCACTTTCCTGCTTTTATTCTATTTGATTGCCTGTAAAATTGATTGACTCTGGTATCCACTCACTAAACATACATGTGTTGCCACTTACTACAGTAAATACAGATGGGATTTGAGACAAGCCTGGATGCCACTGGAAGTCCTTCCTCTGCCACACCAGGCTTAGGTGCAATTCTAGACATGTAAAAGACATGTACTAATGAGAACTAACTGCTCTTGGTTCTCCCTATAGTCCATGAAGGAAAATAGAAACCTCCCAGCAGAGATCGAACAGCCTACCCAGAGAGGTGGTGGATTCACCATCCCTGGAGGTTTTTAAGCAGAGATTGGATGTGGCCCTTAGTGCCATGATATAGTAATTGGAGTTGGATCAGGGGTTGGACTTGATGATCTTGGAGGTCTTTTCCAACCCAATCTATTCTATGATTCTATGATTCTATGATTTTATCTGTCCATCCTCTGACAAGAAGAAGGTGTATTTCTCCTGTTAAATGCAGTGTTTAAGAAGGAATGGCTAAGGAGGCAATCTAGAAAGCTACAGAGGTCAGGAGCCCTGAAATAGGTCCTTGAGGGACAGACTGAGGGTAAAACTTCAGGCAGAAATAAATCAGGAAAAATGTGGAGTTGGGGAGAGACATTGATTTCCCTTTCTTGCTTCTACACACAGAGGACATTGATCTGCCACTGCAGCTTTTCAGAGTGACAAGATGTGCTCTGTTCATTTTTAATTACTTTACTCTGATGGTACAGGCACATGGAAAATTAATATGAAGCCAAAGGAACATTTTTTGCAGTTCCTGCTACTGATGTTAGGAGAACCCTCCCCTGAAAAAAAAAAAAAAGGCATGTTTTTGAAAGAAAGAGAACTAAGCTTCAACAAAGATTAAAGGGCATATATTAAAAGCATATGGAGGTTGATGAGTGCATTTCAAAGAGCTTCAGGTGGGCTTCTCAAACTTTCTTCATATTTCCATGCTAACCAAATCATAACTTTGAAAATAAATGCAATTTTGTTAAGAATTTGTAAAAAAAGTTACTTTTAAATTTAGTAAGCTTTTTCATATGTTTCTGACAAAAAAAATTCACTTGCACCCTCACAATGTCATAATCAAAAGTTACTGCTAAACAATGAAAACATCAGAGCTAAGGCAGGTAACAACCTCTAAAACAGTGAAGAAGCATGTGAGTAGCTAATTTATTAACAAAGCACAACACCCCACTGAGTTAATGAAAAATTTACTATGAATTTACCCTAGAGTCCTTTTAAAAAAACCTAACTGCCAGTTATAAATTTGCTGTTCTATTATTAGCCTCTTAATTGCCTAAAACTTCTCACTTGGTTTTCAGAAGTTAAATAGTATCTGAATTGTTGAAATTGTTTCACTAATGCCTCAGCCTGCTAGGACTGAATTGTAGAGATAACCCATAGGGAACACAAAGGATGTGTTACTTTCCCATGTATTTTTTAGTAAAATTCTGCATGAAATTTGCTTACGGCTGCCCCACCATTTCAGGGAATATGTTCTGAATTCAACCTCAGGAAGCTCTTGCTTTGATAAGCAAAGAGCTAATGAGCTCTATATATTGTATAAAACAAACGAAAAAATAAGCATGATACTTTAGGC